AGTTTGATTGAATAGTATTACATTATTGTTATTTAGGTTATTTCCTCGGAATGTCCAATTCAAACACCTCATTCACAAGTAAATGTTATATCCTCGACTTTTTGTAATTGTTTATGCACGCGATTAACAAGTATATACATCAGTTCTAGTTTAGTTATTTCCAGAGATACGAGGTAGCTAATACCTTGGATCATATATTTATTTATAGTTTCTGAGGACAAATGGACGAATTCAAAAACCAAGATTTTTTTTTCCTGGTAAAACTATAGAACTCCACTTAACTATAGTTCAATACTACTGTTGCAAAGCATACAATTGTTGATCACTTGAGTTGAATCCCAAGAAAAAAAAAATGCATTTTTAAGAATATAGAGAAGTTCGTAACAGTTTTAGTTAACGATATTCTAATTTATTCTTAAACAAAAGCAAAGCATGCTGAACATCTACAAATGACTCTAATTATTCATTTGCAGAGTATACATATTACATGTTAGTATTCCCTTGGATAGGTATTCAGAAGACTTTGTACCTAATTTGTTTAAAATCAAGCAATTCTTGTAATTTCCTGCAATCAATGTGTGCCGTAAAATTTAATTTTATACGGCATGCCATCAATGTATGCCGTAAAAAAATTTAAAGCGTGCAATCAATGTGTGCCGTAAAAGTTCACTTTTTACGGCATGATATCCATGTATGCTGTAAATATTTTTAGTAACTGAATTATTACAGCGTGCATTTATGGCATGTCGTAAATAGTCTATTTTTACGGCATGCCGTATATTCACGCCGTAAACGCGTGCTGTAAAAAGTAACATTTGTTGTAGTGATCCCATCTTTTCCTTATTGATATGCAAAAAAATATCTCTATAAAATCAAAGCTTTTTTCATTATAAAACTTATGATTTTGATGAGGAAAAAGATAATTGATTTTCAAAGCAAATTATGAATATTTTTCTTAGCTTTCAATTCATATCTTGGATCTAAAATTCAAAAAGCTTAGAGGCAACATTGTTGGTCTTTGGTTCTTGGTTGTAAAACATAGAATTCTTCTTAGTGTTTTGTGACCATCTTTAGTGATCATCAAGAGAAGTCATCATCTTCTTCAGAAAAAGAAATTTTGTAGCTTTGGAGGGAGTTAAAGCTTCAAGACAAGTAGCGCTCGCTCAACAAGTCCAAGAAGTAATTCTACATAACAACTCTATACCAAAGAGAGAATCTTTATGTATTCAAGTCGAGCATGTGTCTTGTAATCTGTTGCAATTTAGTGGTTTGTTCAATAACTGGACACGATCCTATGGATATAGGCACTTTCTGAGTCACGTCAAATTGCATATGTATCGTCATTTTCGCTCAAATTAATCAGTTTGACATTGATTAATTTCAATAAATTATTATAAACTAGCTAATATAACAAAAAGCACTAAGATGGTCTCTTGATTTTCGCAACTACATCCAATCACAGAAAATGAAATTGTTCCTTTACGTACAATCTATTTGTCTTAAAACAGTTCTTCAAATAACTCCTTTCCCACATATATTCTATTATATTAGCAATGTGACTTTTTGCCAGAATTATAATGAGACTTCTCAGTGAAGCCTGTGATGTTAGGTTTTTCAACAGATTTTGCTAGTAAAAGAGAGTTATTTTCCTTTTCAGTGTCTAAATTATTCATTATTGTTTTCAACTGAATACAAGGAAAAATTCCCACAATTTCAATGAGAGAGAAAGAGAGAGTGGTTGCACGAAGTCTATCGCTTTGACTCTAGCCGGCATCATCCTACAAAATGAAAGCGTATGTTCTGGTCCATCAAATGCTTGGAAATTTCCTCCAAATGCTTCCCCCGGATTTTATGCTATCCGTACTTACTATTTTTATTTCCAAACTTATTTTTGTATAATGATTCTTTTTTTTTTAAAATCCTTATTAACTGATATTTACATTGGAGTGAGACCCATGTGAATAAAAAAAAAAAAAGGCCAAAAAAAATCCCCTCCCCCTATTTTTAGGGGTTTCTAAGAGGAACCCTCCCTGACAACATAGCAGGGTTAATACTATAGGATAACTTTTATTCAATTAATTAGGTACAAATTTTTTTTTTTTTTTTGTTAATTAATACAATAGGAAATTTACAACATGAATCTTACAATATTAAGCCTCCGCAAAGCGATGCTCGTTGGAAAGGGTCTTCTAGGAGGAACCAATTTATAAATAATTTGTAAATTCAGTTAAAGTTAAACATTAATTTCAATCACAAATTCATAACTATTACTTACCATTAGAATTTGAAAACTTGTAACTACCGGTAGGTAATTTCCATTATTCCAAACCAAATATTACCTAGGATAACTTTCTTTTCGACTAGGAGAAGAGTTTGATTTTTCTTTCTATCATGATCCATGTTGCAAGTTAATGAATGTACCATGAATCGTGTTTAACATGTATTTGTACAAGTATGACATAACATTTTAAGCAACTAACGGGATTAGGCTTACAAAGGTATGACAATGAAGGTGACAACAATCTAAAAGAAGTGGAGAGACTTGTCAAGGATAAAATGATAGCTAGGTTGACAAAAATAACCGTAGGAATTTGATTCACTAATTTCTTGTTGAACTAAAAGTTACGCATCGAATCGAAATTTTTCCAAATATGCAAGGAAATTACAAGTGAAATTTGTCCAAAGTCAATGTTTCACAGTCAAACCCGTTGAAGTATACGGTTCCTCCTCTCATTTTTCCATGGAATCCCAACAGACCACGTCATTTACACACACATGATTAATCCAACTTGAAATTTTCTCCAACAAACGTTAAATACTAAATCAAACATACCACTTCATCCTCCTCCAATTTCACCTACCAATTTCCAAATTATTCCGCCATGGGATTCGACGATGATGATCCTCCTTTCCGTCATCGAATACAGACTTATGATCTTAACAGTAAGATCATGCTCACAGCCATAATTTCATTATCATTGGTGGTGCTGCTTGTCACAATCCTCCACATATATGCAAGATTCGTCATTCGCCGCCAAGCACGGCGTCAGGCTGCCTTGCGCCACCTAGCCTTCATCACAAGCGCCGCTAATGTCCAATCAATGGAGCTACCAAAGACTGGCCTCGATCCATCCGTCATGGCATCTTTGCCCATATTTATGTTCAAGCAAACAAATGGAAATATTAGTGATGGAACGGGGTCAAGTTCAATGGAGTGTTCAGTTTGTTTGAGCTTGTTAGATGATGGTGAAATGGCTAGGACCTTGCCAAATTGTAAGCATACTTTCCATGCAGAGTGCATTGACAAATGGTTTGGATCAAACTCAACCTGCCCCGTTTGCCGGACGGAGGCCGAGCCCCGGCTAGTGGCAGAGCCACGGGAGGACGTGGCGGCGCCCTCGGCTCCACCATTCCATGGTGCTAACTCTATGATCATAACAAGCATGGAAGGTACATCAGATGGTGGAATTTTATCCACAGAAAAAATTGTTGGATCAAGTTCAAGATTAAGTTCATTCAAAAGAATTCTTAGCAGGGAAAGATCATTCCGAAGAATCCAATCCTGTGGTCAAGAAGATGGCTTGCCTGATCTCGAGAGGCGGTGATTATAAATAGGTACAAATATCAAAGATAAAACATTATTACTTCCTATATTGTTTCAATTTAGAAACCAAAATATGGAAAATCAGAAATTAAACATAGATGAGCCAAACTCTCGAGCCTAACGCTATAATGGATAAGATTTTACTTCAGTTTGTCAATTGCTATACAATTCACATTACTAAACAAGGCGAGAGGTCCCCCCCCCCTTTTACATGTACAATTATTAATATATTTAGAAATGTTAGTCAGGAGATATTATGTATAAATATTTAAACATTGAGATTTTGTGTGCCGAGAAATTAATGCCCTGTGTGTTTCTGATTAAAATCAGATTTTAATTTAAGTCAAAGTCAAACAATCAATATTAATCACAACTTTCGTGGATCTCACAGTTTTTCAACCACACATTTCAAAAACTTATATATCACAATCTACTAAAAATCTAATTTTAATCTCCATCAAACACTCACTAAGCTTCGAATGTACAAATACATGATAAGCCCGTTTGGCGGGACTTCTGCGTTCGGACCCTGCATTCGAAGAAAGAATAATTAAAATTGGATTAATTAGTAAACATGATTAAGAAAGATTTATATTGTTTGATAATGAAAATGATTCTTGTATTTGGTAAACTAAAGATTAATATGATAGGTGGCATGCAAAGATAATCTTTTAATTTATTAGATTGCTAGGTTGGATTGCTGGTTGCACAATGTGAACTTTAGACTATACGTTTTCTATTTGTCAACCTTTGACTTACTATTAATTTATTTTTTATATTATTTATAAAAAAATCACAATAATATTATGAGCTTTTTTGTCTTCGTAAAGGGGGCCGTAAAACATTGCCATCAATAGTTGGAACATTCTTCTGTATTTTATGCGAATTTAGAATTGGATTGTCAATTGTCATAATAGATGAATGTAATGCACTGTTAGCATAATTAGTTAGTTTATATTATTTATTAGGGTCCGTTTGATTGATTTAAATTCCATGAAAAGTGTCACAACTCATGAATTCAATTTCTACTTTGACTGTTTGATACGAAAGTAGAAATAGAGTTCGAATTCCAAGATGCAAACACTTTAAGCTTACGTTTTGCCAATTTCATGAAAAATACATTCATACACAGTACTTGAGTTTTTATTTTCCAACTTAAATGGAATTAGAAAGCACTTCCACCTTTACCAATCAAACGGGCATTGAATTCCTCGAATCCGATATTTTTCATGAAATTTAAACCAATAAAACGGACTCTTATTGTTAAAAGGTAGAATGGTAGTTTTACTTATTTCGTTAGGGTAGTTAAGCCATTTTGCTATCAGACTATTTAAGCTCTTGTAATCTCTTTTTTGTATAACTTTTGCTCATTTGATGATTGGAAACCCTAGCCTCTCTTTTGCTTTCTTCTTCTTCTACATATTGCTTGCAATCACAAAATTCACAAGGTGGAAAATAAGGGTAGCATTTATTCTTCCTTCCCATCTTCGCATGCACCCTCTGCATGCAAAGTGTTGTTTCTTGAAATCGAAAGAGTGTACTCGATTCTCTTAATAACTAAAAAGTATAGTACGGCTAAAATTAATTGCCTATTTGGGGGTAGCACTTGTGGTCTTGTTGGAGCTATGAGATAAGAAATGAGAGATTCTTCCATAGTTTTCCCAAACTCTCCATTTCTTGCTTTTAAAAGTTGGATGGATATGGGATTTACCAAGATGGGGGTTCATTTGAGAAATTCAATCTAAAAAGTATTGGCTTGAAACTGTTCTCCAAAGATATATTTATATTGAACACGATTAAAGAAGAAAGTTAACGTGGCCATCAAAAGTTAAGCTCATATCATTTCCTAGATTTTTAGTATAGGAAATTTTCCATACAACAGTCTCCAAAGAGAGTTTTTCTACTGAAAAATGGCTATTAACTCTTGCCTGCCTTGCCTTGTCACTGTACACTGTCGGCGAGAAATAAATTTAAAATTTTATTCATCATATTGTTCAATCCACGACTATTGTGGAGCTATCCAACAGTCAACAAACACAACTCGTATGATAAAGAAATTTTACAAATGCAAGCTAAATCGGGCTAAAATTGGACTGAATATTGCTCATGAAATATTCACATGGTGATTAAACAGAAGTTAAAATGACCTATTGTGAATTAATATTAACCCTTTTTTCCCCCCACATTCGAAACCATTTGTATTCTAACTTTGCCGCTTTCAGAAAGCTAGCGTGATTACGAAGAACAGAAGAAACTCGATCAATCCTCGACCCCATCCACGAGTAATTGAACGACTGCTATTCAAATTCACAATAGCCGGTCCTTCCGTCACTGATCCAGTAAAGGTCCCATTACTTGTGCTCAAACTGCACCAAAATACGTATAAGATCATCATCTCTAAAAACACGAATCATGTCTTAGTAAAGGATGAGGATTGTGCATATCTCAGGATACAACTACAACAAACCAAGTCTACATTCTTAATAAATTTAGGGTCGGCTAAGTTTTAAATTCTTCCACATCCAATGCGAGCGAGCATTCTCTAATAAGGGAGTGTGTCAAGAAAAATGAAAATCACAAAGCATAATCTATCTCCAAATATGAATAGATTGTGGTCCAATTCTAAGGAGGTTCATCTGTAACTCATGTAAGCAACTACAACAAACATGACTAGTTCCCAATAAATATGGAGTTGGCCAAGTATGAAAATGTTCCACAAGCATTCTCTAATATGGGTCGCATCTATCTCCAAATATGAAAAGATTGTGGTCCGATTCTAATGAGGTTCATTCATATCTCAAGTATAAAACTACAACAAACAAAGTCTAAATTCTTAACAAATTTGGTTCGGCAAATGCTCCACATCCACGACAAGCATTCTCTAACATGATCTATCTCCAAATATTAACGATTTTGATCCGATTCTAATGAGGTTCGTCTACATCTAAGATTTATTCCAAATAAATTTGACGATGACTATTCATCCACTTAGTATATGTTCCAGGCCATGCTTGAGGAAGTAAACGTTGAAGGCAAACGACGCCGTACGTTGGAGGTCCGACGGGTCATAACAGGGCCCACCAGCATCTATCCTTTTTCCTTTTTCTTGCATTACTGACTAAAATAACTAATTTTCCATGTTTATAGTTTTTAACACTTCAATTTAAAGTACACTGCAAGAAATTTCACTTTTAACCACAAAATTTTATGTCTTTTAAATAATGACTTTTTAGGGAAAAAATTTCGCCTTTACCTGCTGGATGGAAATTTGCAATTATTGTGACCTGAAAAAACAATAATTAAACCAAATTAAATCAAAATTTCAACATTAAAAAAATAATAATAATAATAATATTTAGTGTGCTTACTAGGATTGAGAGAAGTGAGAGCAGCCGTATTACTAAAACTACAGCTTTCCTCGGTGAGGCCATGCTTAAGGAAGTAATCATTGAAGGCAAACGACGCCGTACGCTGGAGGTCCGACGGATCATTGCAGGGCCCACCTTTCTGGATGGGCCCGCAGTTCGCTCCTCCAGGCCCACAAGCCCAATCGAGGGACGACTGTAGTGCATTATCAGCTGCGTTGTTCTTTGCCACACACCACAGTTCCTCCGCCGCTCCTCCACCGCTGCGGGCGTGAACCACTACTAAGGCATAGAAAAAGAAAGAAAGAACCCATGTTAAGATTGCACTTGCAGGAGCCATAGACATGCAGAGAGATAGAGGAGAAAGTGGGAATTGCCGTTAAGAAATGGTTCTTTTATTGAGTTTACTACATTTTTTAATGGGATTTATATGGAGGAAATGTGACCGTTGCAGTCACTGAGAGAATCGAGAAGACAAGACAAAGATAGTGGTCAGATCATCAGACTAGTACAGACGTTTCTCAAAGTTATTACAGTTGAAATGTTAAACCTGTGCCAAGTTAATCAAGGAGGTAACCACCAACGGTCACGTAGAATTTAATTTGACAATATTAATTCACACTTAACAACATTATATTCATTCATTTTAAAAATTATTTTTTAAATCAATGGCAATTTAATTTGACAATATTAATTCACAATTCATGACAACACCATATTCGTTCATTTTAAAAATTATTTGTTAAGCCAATGGCTCGCATTTTGACAACATCAATATTGTCAATCATTATTATCAAGTATGATTTTACAAATAACATAACAGTTGTTTTTATCCGAATTTTTATTTTTTACATTTTTAAATTAAGATCGCATTTAAAAAATAAATAAGTACAAGTATTTTAATTATAGTCTTCTCTTGTCCTTTCCCGCTCCACTCCAAATTTGTGTCGTACAATTGTCATCCCAAATTACTTGTAAGGATTCTATGTTGCGCGACTTTTGATTAGGTTCCAGTTTGACACACATTCTTGTAAAATACATTTTTTCAAAACTTATTTTTCAACCACACACTAGCTTATAGCTTGAACGACAGGGTTATTCGGGACATACCATTTTTCACGTTTTAACACGTTTTTGAATTCTACTTCAACTATAACTCTTCTATTAGGGTTTGGACGTCGCCCTACAAAGTTGCATATATATACTTGGCTCTTCTCTATAATTTTATATTGTGAAAAAAATTATTACTAACTTTTAAGATCATTGTAATATTTTCCATCTTCATTATTTGTAGTGCAATATAATCTCTTAATTCATCTGCTATATTTTCTTGTTTTCTTTTTTTTACTTGTGATTAAATACCTCATTATTGTGCCATATAATTTTAACATCTCAATCTGTTGGTTGATTTCATATCAAATGGTATCGAACAATACGTGATCCTTAAATTTCCAACAATTAGTATTAGAGATTTTGGGCATAATTAACACAACAAGTGGTATCAGAGTTGTATTAGACCATGGATGTGGACGATGCTTATGAGTTGTATGAGAATAGCAAAAAATAATCAATGTGGCCAAGCGATAGTGAAGTCCATAGGAAAATTGCTAGTGTACATAATGTGGATGCAATGAGAGCGTTGGCAACATAGATGGAGGCAATAAGGAGAAAGCTTGACACTTTGACACATACTGTAAATATGGTACAAACTCTAACTCCTGTATGCGTAGGTTGTGGGTCAAATCACATCACTACAAGCTGCTCTTTGACTTCTACTCACATGAGTCACCCGTCAGAGGTGAATTATGTATAAACCTTCTAGAGGCAAGAGAACTACCCCAAAAATTACCATCCAGAATGGAACAAGCAGCCAAACTCCTCACGTGCTAATAATCAAGGGTAAAATTTCCAATGGAGGTCCGACGGATCATTGCAGGGCCCACCTTTCTGGATGGGCCCGCAGTTCGCTCCTCCAGGCCCACAAGCCCAATCGAGGGACGACTGTAGTGCATTATCAGCTGCGTTGTTCTTTGCCACACACCACAGTTCCTCAGCCGCTCCTCCACCGCTGCGGGCGTGAACTACTACTAAGGCATAGAAAAAGAAAGAAAGAACCCATGTTAAGATTGCACTTGCAGGAGCCATAGACATACAGAGAGATAGAGGAGAAAGTGGGGATAGCCGTTTAGAAATGGTTCTTTATTGAGTTTACTACATTTTTTAATGGGATTTATATGGAGGACATGTGACCGTTGCAGTCACTGAGAGAATCGAGAAGACAAGACAAAGATAGTGGTCAGATCATAAGACTAGTACAGACGTTTCTCAAAGTTATTACAGCTGAACTGTTGAACCTGTGCCAAGTTAATCAAGGAGGTAACCACCAACGGTCACGTACAATTTAATTTGATAATATTAATTCACACTTAACAACATTATATTCATTCATTTTAAAAATTATTTTTTAAATCAATGGCAATTTAATTTGACAATATTAATTCACAATTCACACTTGACAACACCATATTCGTTCATTTTAAAAATTATTTTTTAAACCAATGGCTCACATTTTGACAACATCAATATTGTCAACCATTATTATAAAATATGATTTTACAAATAACATAATTGTGGTTTTTATCCGAATTTTTATTTTTTACATTTTTAAATTAAGATCTCATTTAAAAAATAAAAGTAAATGAATAAGTAGAAGTATTTTAATTATAGTCTTCTCTTGTCCTTTCCCGCTCCACTCCAAATTTGTGTCGTACAATTGTCATCCCAAATTACTTGTAAGGGTTATATGTTGCGCGACTTTTGATTAGGTTCCTGTTTGACACAGATTCTTGTAAAATACATTTTTTCAAAACTTATTTTTCAACCACACACTAGCTTATCGCTTGAGCGATAGGGTTATCCGGGCCATGCCATTTTTCGCGTTTTAACATGTTTTTGGCATTCTACTTCAACTATAACTCATCTATTAGGGTTTGGACGTCGCCCTACATAGTTGCTTATATATACTTGGCTCTTCTCTACAATTTTATATTGTGAGAAATATGATTACTAACTTTTAAGATCATTGTAATATTTTCCATCTTCGTTATTTGTAGTGCAATTTATCTCTTAATTCATCTGCTATATTTTCTTGTTTTCTTTTTTTTTTTTTTTACTTGTGATTAAATTCCTCATTATTGTGCCATATAATTTTAACATCTCAATCTGTTGATTGATTTCATATCAAGTGGTATCGAGCAATACGTGATCCTTAAATTTTCAACAATTAGTATTAGAGATTTTGGGCATAATTAACACAAGTGGTATCGGAGATGTATCAGACCATGGATGTGGACGATGCTTATGAGTTGTAGGAGAATAGCAAAAAATAATCGATGTGGCCAAGCGATAGTGAAGTTCATAGGAAAATAGCTATTGTACATAATGTGGATGCAATGACAGCGTTGGCAGCATAGATGGAGGCAATAAGGAGAAAGCTTGACACTTTGACACATACTGTAAATATGGTACAAACTCTAACTCCGGTATGCGTAGGTTGTGGGTCAAATCACATCACTACAAGCTGCTCTTTGACTTCTACTCACATGGGTCACCCGTCAGAGGTCAATTATGTATAAACCTTCTAGAGGCAAGAGAACTACCCCAACAATTACCATCCAGAATGGAACAAGCAGCCAAACTCCTCACGTACTAATAATCAAGGGTAAAATTTCCAATCCAGAATGGAACAAGCAGCCAAACTCCTCACTTACTAATAATCAAGTGTAAAATTTCCAGAATAGACCACCAAGGTTCCAACAGTAGCAACAACATTAGCAATAGTGAATGTCGTCATTGGAAGATTTGCTATCTCAGTAAATCACAAAGACTAAGGCCAATTTCCAGAATCAGCAGGCTTGTATCAAGAATTTGGAATAGCGGGTGGGACAAATAGTGGCTGTAATAGCCAACAGACCAACCATCCATGAGATGGAAATGAAAATTGTACATGTACATGTATATGTTGTATAATAAGTGAAAGCAATTATAAGTTGACGCTGCATCTCGTTTAAGATGTAAATAAAGAAGGGAATTGTAAGTTTATTATACATGTAGAAAAAGCTTTGACTCAATTAATGCTTGTGATTTTAACAAACTAGATGGAGTAGACACTGCACAAGATGATAGATAAGTGCTTCTCAAAATACGTGAAGGTGTTTTCCATTTTGGGTAATGGTGTTTTTTATTATGATAATGAACTTTGACATCCGCTAGCGCCATCTTAATTGTCGATTAGCAGATATTCAAGTAATAATACACACAAGGACAATGTGAAGAGATAGTTTAGGTGAAACATTTTTGTGTCTTAACCTGCCCATTGGAGTCTCTTCGTAACAATATTCTTAGGTGTGGAGAACTAATGAACATTTTTTTTTATCCAGATAACCATCACTAAAATTTTAGCAAGTGGATTGGAGGATATGTATATTGCAATGCATACATTAGAAACAATGTCTATTTTTTCCCCATCATATTGCATAGTTTCTCTTCACAAATAGGGTGGCAATGGGGATGATATATGACGAGTTGGTTATTTCCTTCTTCCGTCATGTTGAGTATTTTTATCACATTGCCCTGCCTCCATATCCGATTAAAGCTGGGCAAAGCGGGTTCAGTGTGGGATCGGGATGAGGCGAGGCAAGTCCCGTACCCCGTTTTATTTTTTTATTTTATTTTTTGCTTTTAGTTTATTATGTTTTTAATTAATGAATATTATTACTTTTTTTTTTTTCAATTTGTTAAAAACAACTCATATTCACTTTAAAAAGATGATAAATCTTTTATTTGATAATAAAAAACTTAAATTTGAAATTAACTTTAAACGGAAAGGGGATTGTGTTTTTCGTACCTGCACCGTACCTACTTCGAGGCAACAACCCCCCACCCTGTTCCTGCCCCAGTTACTCGGTTAGACAGGTAATCTCGGCCCCTTGGGGTTGAGTCCCACAAATATTGAGTTGAAGGATTTTTTTTTGTCATCCCTACACAAATGTATACTCTCCTTTGGCATGTATTTGTTTGCAGATGATGCTCCTTTAATTTTTCCTAAATAGTGCTCTTGTTGAACTATATGACACGAGACTCTTAATTGTCGAAGACAACTTTTAATCACGATTTTTTCCCTTATGTAAGGGTCTATGTTTTTAGATTAAATGGCTAAACAGTAAAGGAGAAAGCAACGTTCTTGATTCAAGTCTGATTAGATCCGTTTATGAAAATTGTGCACTTGTCCCACATATGATGAAAAATCAAATTGATGTGCATGATAGGGGCCGTTTTGAAATACAAATTTAAGTAGATAGACTTTTCTCTTTTCTAAGACCAACATAAACTTATAGATGAAGTGATTCAACATTAACTATTGTTTTTGAGAAAGTTCCCACTTTTCAATTCTCCTCGAACTCTGTGCATGCTCGAATGGGAACATTCAAACTTGGATGGAGGGAATGTGATTTTTAAGAAAGATGGAATTGAAAGGAGAATTCATATGCATTCAAAGGAACTGAGTTTTTAGGTCATTTTACAATGGAAATTTCTAGTCTGTTAACTTCATATTTGGGTTATCCAGATAGTTACATATTCTTTCTATCTATCGTGTACAATATTGGTCTTAGACTATATTTTCTCTTACATATATCCTTTTTTTTAAATGAAATGAATCAATAAGATATTTAGAAAGACATTTTAGTTACGTAAGAACGATATGAATCTTAATCTTGGACTATGAGCATATAGTTAGAAACTTTTAAAGAATTACTTCCAATGACATTTCCATGAAAAACATATGAAGTCAAGTTTCAAATTTGAGCATAATTTTCAACGTGTATTATTCTCAAGGGAAGATTGATAGGAAAAATAGAAATTTCTCATTATATACTTTTATCATGATAGTTCACAAGAGCAGAGGGACAGGAAGACCACAATTTGATTAAGTACACAATTTTTTGCATATAGAGTTACAAGTATCCTTGTTGAGATGATGGGTAATTAGCACATAACGTTCCCATCTTTCATTATTATTGTGGAAAACGTTCATACATTTCATTTTTTTGCATTTTCACCCTTACTTTCACCTTTCATTGTGCAAAAAGTCATTTTTACCTACTTTCTCAATTAAAAATTATGAAATGACAAATATACCACTCTTTTTAAATAAAACAAGAACAAAAAGAAAAAAAACTAATTACAATCACAGTCCCAATTTTTTAAAAAAGTGTAAATAAATCACAAATAAATTATTAAAAGGATAATTAATACTTAATGTCTCTATCTTTCACCGTTATTGTGAAAAACGTCCCCACCTTTTTTTTGACATTTTCACCCTTAATTAAACATTTGATCTTGCAAATCATCATTTCCATCGAATTTTTCAATAAAGAAGTGTGAAATAATGAATATACCCTCCCATTTAAATAAAAATGATCTTTTGCATAATGAAATGTGAAAATGCCAAAAAAAATGAAAGGTAGTGACATTTTCTACAATAACAATGAAAGATGGGGACGTTATGTGCCAATTATTCTAATAATAATAATAAAATTCGGAAACATATGAGTATTTACCGTATCCCCAAGATACCACTAGGGAAAATTTGTTTGTAGTTATCAACATCGCACACCATTCACTTCCTCTTGTATTGGATTGAGATTTTTATGTAAAAAGGAGGTAAAAGTTGAGCGTATCTGTTATTTATTTATATAGGATCATGTATTAAATTCATATTACAGATTATCAATTATTTTGCGAAGAAATCTAACAAAATATTGCCAATGTAGATTCTCTATTGATTGTGACCTTGAAATTCAGAGATTTCAAAATCATCGTAAAACCAAATTCTTTTTACTCTTTGCATTAATGCTTTGACTCTCTCTCTCTCTCTCTCTCTCTCTTTCTTTCTTCACAATGGTCAAGGACGAACGAATTTCTTTATTCTGATTCTGCTTCATTTCCTTTCCATGGGTCGCAAGAAGTTAGCAATGAAGCGGATTTAAAACTCAACATCACTTCAAATAACACATGCCAAGCGCAAGGATGAAATTGTTAAGAAGGCCTGAGAACTATCAATTTTGCGTGACACAAATGTTGCC